TCTTCTCAAAAGATATCACAAAACAAATACAAAAAGGCTTTTTTTTAACAAATGTTTCTGTTGTACTTGTGGATTCTTAAAGCTGTTATTGCAAATTTGGAGAACAAGTTGGCTTAAAACACTTTTTTCATGCCACTTAACAAATTGACATAGTTTAGATATAAATATATTGTGGTGTTTAATAAAAAGTCGTTACCTCACATTTGTCTAAAAACCTCTGCCAGTAACATATTTCAGACCAAAAGTAACTATAGGACCAAACAATTGTGGGTCTCGCCAAACCACAGCACTTCCGCACCTCCCAGGGTCCTCCATGCATTATGCTGAACTGAAAATAAATTCCTAATCAAATATTTTTTAGTTGATAGTTGAAAACACTTGTGTTTCTTATTGTGAGCCTCCTGATTTAGGTTATTTGGAAAGGTTGGTTCAGTTCAACCAGCTGTATTTAGGGTTGTGAGTCTTTATGGTGCTAATGTTGTGGGACAGTAGTTAAAATTTCTGGAACCACTCCCACAACAGACAATGACATGAGAGACAGTTATCAGCGTCTTGAGTGGAAAAATGAATGAATGGACGTTTTTTGTCACATGCATATGAGAAAACACGAATTATGTTAAAATGCTAATGAATGGTCATATTTGTGCAACATTTACTGTGAATGTCGTGCAAATTTTTTTCATTGAATCTGCAAAAAAGCAAACTTTTAAACACAAACATGGTCACAGAACTCCCACCCATCCCATCAGTTATCATCCCCAGGCCACATCAGCAAGAAACCGGAACCCACATTGCCTTGGTAAATGAGTGCTAAACGTCAGTTGCCATTTTCGTCGTCGTCGTCTTCCTCCGCTTATCCGGGTCCGGGTCGCAGGGGCAGCATCCCAACTAGGGAGCTCCAGACCGTCCTCTCCCCAGCCAACTCCACCAGTCCCTCCAGCAGGACCCCAAGTCGTTCCCGGACCAGACTGGAGATGTAACCTCTCCAACGTGTCCTGGGTCGACCCGGGGGCCTCCTGCCGGCAGGACATAACTGAAACACCTCCCCAGGGAGGCATCCAGGAGGCATCCTGACCAGATGCCCAAAACATCTCAACTGACTCCTTTCGATCCAGAGGAGCAGCGGTTCTACTCTGAGTCCCTTCCGAATGTCCGAGCTCCTCACCCCGTCTCTAAGGCTTAGCCCGGCCACCCTACGGAGGAAACTCATTTCAGCCGCTTGTATCCGCGAACTCGTTCTTTCGGTCACTACCCAAAGCTCATGACCATAGGTGAGGACTGGGACGTAGATCGACCAGTAAATCGAGAGCCTGGCTTTCTGGCTCAGTTCCCTCTTCACCACGACAAATCGGCTCAGCGTCCGCATCACTGCAGATGCTGAACCAATCCGCCTGTTGATCTCCCGATCCCTCCTACCCTCACTCGTGAACAAGACCCCAAGATACTTAAACTCCTCCACTTGAGGTAGGAACTCTTGCCCGACCCAGAGTTGGCAAGCCACCCTTTTCCAGTCGAGAACCATGGTCTCAGATTTGGAGGTGCTGATCCTCATCCCAGCCGCTTCACACTCCGCCGTGAACCTACCCAGCAAGAGCTGAAGGTCAAAGCTGGATGAAGCTAGGAGGACCACATCATCCGCAAAAAGCAGAGACGAAATTCTCCTGCCACCAAACTCGACACACTCCACACCAAGACTGTGCCTAGAAATCCTGTCCATAAAGGTTATGAACAGAACCGGTGACAAAGGGCAGCCCTGGCAGAGTCCAACCTTCACCGGGAACAGGTCCAACTTACTACCGCCTATGCGGACCAAACTCACGCTCCTCTGGTAAAGGGACTGAATGGCCCTTAACAGAAAGCCACCCACTCCATACTCCTGGAGCGTCCCCCACAGGGTGCCCCTGGGGACACGGTCATAAGCCTTCTCCAAATCCACAAAACACATGTGGATTGGTTGGGCAAACTCCCATGCCCCCTCCATCACCCTTGCAAGGGTATAGAGCTGGTCCACAGTTCCACGGCCAGGACGAAAACCACATTGCTCCTCCTCAATCTGAAATTCAACTATCGATCGGACCCTCCTCTCCAGTACCTTGGCGTAGACCTTTCCAGGGAGGCTGAGGAGTGTGATCCCCCAGTATTTGGAACACACCCTCAGGTCACCCTCCTTAAAGATGGGGACCACCACCCCGGTCTGCCACTCCACAGGAACTGCCCCCGATGACCACGCAATTTTGCAGGGACGTGTCAACCACGACAGCCCTACAACATCCATAGCCTTGAGATACCCAGGACGAATCTCATCCACCCCTGAGGCTCCGCCGCTGTGTAGTTGTTTGACTACCTCAGCAACTTCTGCCCCCAAGATTGAACAGTCCATCCCCAGGTCTCCCGGCTCTGGCTCCTCTTCGAAATGCGAGTAGGTGGGACTGAGGAGCTCCTCAAAGTGTTCCTTCCACCGCCCGACTATAGCCCCAGTTTATGTCAGCATCTCCCCATCCCCACTGTAAATGGTGTGAGCGAGCTGCTGCCTCCCCTCCTGAGGCGCTGGATAGTTTGCCAAAACCTCTTTGGTGCTGCTCGATAGTCTTTCTCTATGGTCTCACCAAACTCCTCCCACGCCCGAGATTTTGACTCGGCAACTGCCACTGCTGCACCCCGCCTGGCTGTCCGGTACCCGTCTGCTGCCTCCGGAGACCCACAGACCAGCCACGCCCTGTAGGCATCCTTCTTCAGCCTGACGGCTCCCCGAACCTCTGGTGTCCACTGGTGGGTACGGGGGTTGCCACCCCAACTGGCACCAGCCACCTTGCGACCACAGCTAGCAACAGCTGCCTCAACAATCGCAGAGTGGAACAAGGCCCACTCGGAGTGGATGTCCCCCACTGCTCCCGGGACGCGGTCGAAGCTCTGCCGGAGGTGGGAGTTGAAGACCGTCTTGACAGGTTCTTCTGCCAAGCGTTCCCAGCCGACCCTCACTATGCGTTTGGGTCTGCCTGGTCTACACGGCATCCTCCCCTGCCATCTGATCCAACTCACCACTAAGTGGCAATCAGTTGACAGCTCCGCTCCTCTCTTCACTCGGGTGTCCAAAACATATGGCCATAGGTCAGGTGATACAACTACAAAGTCTATCATTGACCTGTGACCTAGGCTGCCCTGGTACCAAGTGTACCGATGGGCATCCTTATGTTCGAACATGGTGTTCGTTATGGCCAAACTGCGGCTTGCACAGAAGTCCAATAACGAAACACCACTCGAGTTCAGATCAGGTGGGCCGTTCCTCCCAATCACACCCTTCCAGGTCATGCTGTCATTGCCCACGTGAGCATTGAAGTCCCCCAGCAGGACAATGGAGTCCCCTGATGGAGCACTATCTAGCACTCTAGCAGGGACTCTAAAAAGGGTGGGTAATCTGAACTGATATTTGGCGCATAAGCACAAACAACAGTCAGGACCCGTTCCCCAACCCGAAGGCGCAGGGAAGCTACCCTCTCATCCCCCGGGGTAAACCCCAACACACAGGCAGAGAGTCTTGGGGCTAACAAAAAGCCAACCCCAGCCCTCCGCCTCTCACCCAGAGCAACTCCAGCAAAGGAGAGTGTCCAACCCCTCTCAAGGACTTGGGTTCCAGAGCCAATGCTATGTGTCGAGGTGAGTCCGACTATATCTAGCCGGTACCGCTAAACCTCTGCCACAAGCTCCTGCTCCTTCCCCGCCAACGAGGTGAGGTTCCATGTCCCAATAACCAGTTTCCTTGTCTGGGGGTCGGACCGCCAAGGCTCTCGCCTCGATCTGCCACCCGATCCACTCTGCACCGGACCCTTCATGTTCCTCCTGCGGGTGGTGGGTCCACAGTTGGATGAGCCCATGTATCCGGTTCGGGCTGGGCCCAGCCGGGCCCCATGGGCGAAAGCCCGGCCACCAGGCGCTCGCTCATGGGCCCCAACCCCAGGCCTGGCTCCAGGGTTGGACCCCGGTAACCCTCTGGGCCAGGTACTCCGACTCTTTGTTTTTACTTCCATGAAAGATCTTCTGAACCGTTCTTTGTCTCACCCTTCACCTAACATCCATTTGTCATGGGAGACCCTACCAGGGGAACAAAGTGCCCCAGACAACATAGCTCCTAGGATCATTAGGGCACTCAAACTCCTCCACAACGGTAAGGTGACGGTTGCCATTTTCTAGATCCAAATGTCTTTTGTTGTCTGTGACTTCAAATGGTGTTTTTCTTTTTTGGGACTCTAAAGCTGAAGTGGTAGCAGCCGGCTGTTTCTCCTTCTCTAATGTTATTGAGTGGAGAACCTCTTACACCAGTGGTGTTCTGGTGCTAAATACGCCCGCGTGTTATGAGTAGAGGACCCAGGTAAATCTGTAAGCACGTTGGCCCAGTGAGACCGGGAGGTTTTCAGACAAATGAAAGAGAATGACTTCATTAATTAATTATTATTGTACATGTTAGAATTTTAAGAAGCATGAGAAAAAGGTTTTATGCTAACTCGTTTTGCAGATTTGCTATTGCAGCTTTTAAGCCACAAAAGGCCTTCCTTAGTTCTCTTTGTTTTGCAAATTATCTCAGTTTCATTCGCACTGATTATTTTATCATACTTGTCCCAAAAGTAGTTTCATCTGATGCGCTTGTCTCATGGAGACTAAATTGAAAAACATTTAAGTCAGGTTCCTGATGCACACAATGACTGCCAACTATTTTGACACGAAATGTATCTTCAAAGTTGCACATTCTGGACAAACTACCATTGGGAATTTGCTGACACAAGTTGCAGCCCAGTTAGTTCCACACTAGCTTGAGTTTGACCCCTCAGGTCTATGTAATAATAAACAAAGATATACTAAATAATCAAACTAAATACACAAACTCTATACAGCACTGAACAAATGCACACATAGTCAGACAGGTTTGAGTTGACATCCATTGGCGTTAAGAACAAGGACCGCTCGTGCACATGCATGCTCACTCACATCCTGTTCACAAAACTCACGTGTGCATCTGTTGTTGTCTTCTGGATTCCTCGTGCCATAGTATCCCACAGGGCAGGAGGGGAGGCACACTCCTATCTGTCGGATGTCATTGCGCTCCAGGAAGATAAAGAGCTTGGGCTTACATTTAATGCAGCCATTGTACTCAGAGCATCGGTCACAGCCTTTGGGGCAAGATGGTGGTCCTTCAGTACTAACTGTGGAAAACAAATGCACAGAAAAACCAGGGATCACAGTGATGCAATGGAACGAGTTGTATCATCACATGAAAACAAACTTTTAATAGGAAATGAGACCGGGAAGTCATCCACAGCTTATAAAACTGTGCAACTTTAATATTTTGTTCCGTCTTCACTAATAGTCGTAGTAAAGCCAGAATTTTAAAGAGCCTAGGAAAACAGCTCACTTTGAGCAAGGCAGGCCAAACATCTTTGTTTGAACAGTTGCTTGTTGTTTATTTCAAAACTGTACAGAAACGCAGAAGAAGTACGGCTGACATTTAAACAAGAGTCAGCTGGTTGGCTCTAGAAACGGCTGGGGGTGTAAAAAGAATTACAACAGTACGAGGACGAGTGCAGAACAAGTGCTTTCAGGCAAAAAATCAGTAAATGTCTTCCAGTGGAACACGCAGCACATTAACAATTCTTTTTCATCATCCCCTCATCCTCTAAAAGAAATTAAACGGAGGCACGGAGAAACAGTAGTCCAGATCGTTTCTAGGAAACGAGTGTTACAGTGCACATCCTGAACTTTCATGAACTAAAACAACAGTTGATTCATTGCCCCTCGCTATCAGCTCTACTGACTCTCATACGGCAATCAATCTACCGCGCCGCTGCCTCCCACAGATAAGTCAAAGGCAAAATGTGTTAAAGTGTCCTTCCAGGAACTGATTACTCCATGCCTGATTAATAGCAACGGGCATTAATAATAGAGCCAAGTTTTATTGGTTACAAATCATGAGTAATGTGGTGAAATCAAAACTCACAGCTGAGAATGAGACGTCTTAGATCTCTGTGTGCAACTGAATTCATTCTGAGATTTAACACAAGAGGCTGGCGAGGAACAATACAAATAATGCATGAGGATTTTCAATTGTCAGCTGTTTTCCTACCCGGGGGTGCCGTTGACAATAAGTGAATCTGATCACACAAAAGACATAAAAGCAGTAAATCAGACGTGTAAATTACAAACATCTTGGATATTTGGAAGCTAATCAGCTTCAGCTTGGTGTGACAGTTTAAAGGGTTCAGTTAAAAGTTTTATATTACAAAGCAGAGATTCATAAGAAGCTGTTTCTGCCACTGCATTGATCTGGTCCTTCAGTTTCAGACATGCAGCGACTTCCATTGACTCTGGGTGATCCTGGAAGCTGTCACAAGCCTGATAGCAGTTTTATTCTTGACATTTTCAGTGCCTTCCAGAATAAGCTGTTTCAGGGCTCTGCCACTTTAAAGGTGCAATTTGTAAGAATTCTACTGCAAAATATTCACAAAACAGTCTAATGTCTCAATCATGTTGGACAGAAGGTTATATTGAAACAGATTTAATTCAGCCGGCTGGGGTGTTTTCAGTTTTTCTTCTTTCTAAATAAATGAAAGCAGGACATAGTTACTGCTTTCACTCGGAGTTTGCCAAATCTGTAGTAAGCTAACACAGCATCACAGCCAGACATTTGTAATTCAGCAAGCAAAAAACACCAGAGTTGTTTAAAGAACCAAATCCAATATACTGGAGCAACCCAGAAGTTTTTTCTTGTACCCCTAAGAAGCCACATCATCGTTTTGTTTTACTCTAATATCGGGTAAAGAAAGCTAGAGGCTAATGTTGAGCTAACTATGCTAATGGTAAATTAGAAGCAAATAGTCTGTTCTAAAAACATCTCAAGCTTTTCTTTTAATTACTAACAACTCAATATTACAGTGAAATGTGTGTGTGAAGTGAATAATGAGTCAACTGTGGCGTTTTACTTCCTTTAATGAGTCGTTCAGAGCTATATCAGCAAGCTAACAGCAAAATGGCAAACAATTGTACTTCCAGTGCTGGAGAAATATTACCGTAATACGTGTAGAAAATGCTCCGTAACATAAAACACCCGACTGCCAACACCAGATATAACAATGCATTTATCTACTTATCAACATATGGTGTATGAATTGTCTTTCATTGTCAACTAGAATCTTCTGGCACTAATCCTAACTAGCAACAGTCATGAAAGTAAATGTATTGCTTAGAAAAATGTACTGCAGGTACCTAATTTGACTACAGGATATCATTTTTACAAATTGCACCTTTAAGAAAGCAAGTTATTGCTGACCACACCCCCCACTTAGGCTGCTATAAGCTGAGAAGCTAAGACATTTGGGAGAGGCTTGGCGTAGATTCGCTGCTATTTCCCTGTTTGTGACATCACAAACGAGGACTTTTTGAAACCAACTGTTTTAGGTACATAGTCTTTCAAATCCAACCTAAACAGGGGACGATTTTCTTTTTTACTTTTATGTTTGGAGTGTTTATAGAGGGAATAGAGACCTGCGTAGCTGCACAAAAGATACCCTTTAAAGGGAATCATGAGTGTTGGCAGTTACCCTCTGGCATCATCACTCTGCGGTTGTGTGTTTACCATATTTTGCTAAATTATCCAGCTTTCATAGGTATCCCGTCCCAGTATGTGTGATTTATTTTAGAGGGACAGCTGTTACTGTGGCCTATGGCGGTATTGAATGTATTTTGGCTACGAGAGGTGGGTCGAGCTTGACCTTTGCTAAAAGCTCCTCGTGTGCAAAAGAAGAATAAATTCTGAGGCCTGTGATGTACTGAACGCTGTCATTGTATCTGCGTGAGGTCAGAAAAATGCTTGCAACAAGACCGGCAGCATGTTCCAAGTGAAGGCTTAGAACTGTCAGGTACTCTATTACGTGCCCACGCAGCCAGACACGAAACGAGCAGAGGCTTTGAGAGGGAATCCATCAAAAATCCTTCTCTAAACAACTCTAATACCGATTAAAAGTTTTACATAAACTCAGTGAGGCATAATCTCAAAAGAGCAAGACAGCTGAGCCATTCCGGGGAAACTCTGAACCTAACATAACCCGCCTTGAAAAAACAAATAGGAATGATGGGAAAATAAACAAAATGTTAGCTTTACTTTGCTTATTACATGTTTATAACACATCCACCACAATGAGTCAGATGTTAGAAATGAAAAGCAGGATTGCTGCAATGGAAGAGGAAAGAAAAAGAAACGAGAATACAGAGTAAGTGTGAACTCACCCCTTGTCTGCCTTCTCGCCTTGGAGAGCTTGAGAACATCGCTGTGACCCATGGAGCTGAGAATGATCATCGCCAGCGCCACTAGACCCAGCTGCATAGTCCCTGTTGCCTTCCTGGCTGTGCAAGGTCCCCCCTGCAAACAGATGGATCAGGTAGGGGGTGGTCCCCCTTCCTTTGTGGGACAGGTGGATCCCTCTGATCTTCTTTCCTTCAGTTTCCCGGGCTCTCTGTGACTCTCACTCTACTGGCTGTTTTTTCCACGAGTCTGAGCTGCAGACTGCAACTGCACATCCGGACAAGCCCGAAGCACAGCAAGTCATCCTTCTGGTGGTGGCGCAAACAGATGGTGGTGACAGAATGAGGAGGAGGGGGTCAAGGGGTATTGCAGGCACCGAAGACAGAGGTGTGTTGAAGCGCTCGTGGTTCAACCCATGAAATTTATGAAGAGCTTTAAGGCGAGCGGGAAGCCATCTGTTTTAGGCAGGTTTGCTGTCATCGAGTGTGTGAACTCACAAACGCGTGCCACTCCGAAAAATGGGGGTGTGTGCAAAAGACGGATGGAGGTTTCAGACTATGTGTGACAACACATTTGCTCGAACTGAGGCCTGCTGAGAAAAACAAAGCCGGGAAAACAAAGAGAAAAAAGGTTTTGCTGGGTTTTAATATGGAAAATAATGCATGACAGATCAAGTGTCAGGAAAACGGAAAGTAAATGTTTACACGTTTAAAAAGCAAAGGCCCAGCTTCTATTCCCCTGAGTTGCACAAATCGCCTGACTGCCAGTAAAAATGTAATTAAAGACAAAAATAATAATTCTCACTTTAATCTTAGAATCTTTACTTCAATCTAAAGACTCATAAGGACAATAATCTCTGTGTTTTTGCCTCTTCTTCTCAGAATTCTGCCTTCTGAAATCAATCTCAAAGTTCTCAGATTAGAATTTTTTAAAATCAACGTCAGAATTCTTGGATAAAAGTGAGAATTTTCAGATTAAAGGAAGAAGTCTGACTTTAATCTCAGATTTATGACTGGAGATTAAAATCAGAATTTTAACTTCATTGTCAAAATTCTGCCTTTAATTTCGGAATTATGACTTTTGAGATTCAAGTCATAATTTTGAGAATAAAGTTAGAATTCTGACTATAAACTCAGAGTTATGACTTTGAGATTAAAGTCAGAATTCTAAGATTAAATTTCGAAGTCCAACTTTCAAATCAGAAGTCTCAGAATAATGACTTTTGAGGTTAAAGTCAAAATTATGAGATTAAAATCAGAGATCTGAGATTATAGTCAAAATTATGAGATTGAAGTCAGAATCGCGAGTTTAATCTCAAAATTCTCACTTCTGAGATTAAGGTCAGAAAGATTGAAGTCTGACTTTAATCTCACAATTCTGAGAAAATTGTCAGAATCCTGAGATTTAAGTCAGGATTTTGACTTTTGAGATTAAAGTCAGAGTTTTGAGATTAAAATCAGAATTGCGACTTTAATCTCAGAAGTCTCACTTCTGATTAATGTCTGGCTTTAATCTCACAATTCTGAGAAAAAATTTGACTGCTGAGATTTAAGTCAGAGTTCTGATTTTTGAGATTAAAGTCTGAATTTTGAGATCAATGTCAGTTCTGAGAAAAAAATCTTCAGTGGCCCTAATCCTCTTCCATACATCATAAAAAGCAAAATTGTAAAGCCTTTTAGCTCTAAAGCTCACTCATTAGCACAATATTTCCTGCTAAATCAGAATAAAATAGTCTTGTTAAAATGAAAAGTTTGGCCAGGTGTGATCACTCCACAAAGTATTTCCTTGTTGTTGCCCAGAATCTCAAAAGCTGCAGAGAAACTGAAGAAATAGTTGCGACTGGCCAAAAACTAGCCCCCTGCTTCACCCCTCATTAAACCCAAAAAATGACCTTTATCTGCTTTATATGCAATGCTGTAACCCTGAGCTTTAAATTGGTGGCACATAAGAGTGATCTCATTGATTAGCTTGATATAACATTTTAACACTAATGTTTTAAAGTGGAAAAACAGTTGGATCGTCCCGATGTCAACACTTTTAACAAGTGACGATAAATCCTAACCAGATGTGAAAAAATTATATCTATAAAACGTGTCCTGAGCTGCACTCTTTGTGCCACTTCCACCCATCTAAAATAATCTGACTCATGGGGAAATAATCCACCACGAGGAAAACCAAAGGCCATGGACATTGTTGAAGTTCGTGACACGTCTGACCCCGGGTCACTAAAAGATTCTGCTTATCTCTAAAGAAATGAAGTGACATGGATGCGAAGTGCTGCACCAGCTCACACTGAAAGCTTTTGTCTTATTTGGTGCTGAGATCTTTTTTTAGATATTGTCAGGCATCGCCTGCATTTACAGCTCCAGTGTGAAGAGGACACGTTCATATCTGAGCAATGGGAGGTCCTCCCTCGCAGCTCAATAAAAGACAACCAGGACCATATTTGGCTCTGAATCACGCTGACAATAACATTTGCTGGGTCGGAATAATCCAGCAGGCAACGGTGCATTTTAAATCCAAATAAATTCAGGTTTTAACTTGTAGAACTAAAATATCATTAGCAGTTTTGGCTGCAATTAAAATAAATGTTTATATTTAATTTGTATGATTACAAAAAAATACTAATAAAATGTATTTTGATGTTTTTTTTTAAACACGAAATTCACAAAAAACATGTTTTTATTATTTTCAATTAGAAATACTAAAAATTATCATCATGGATAATTAACTTACGAGATGACTAAAGAACTTACATTTTCATGAAAGTGATGATTTATATTGTGTCATGAAAGTAGCGTTGGTCAAGAATAAACACACTCTTTTAAAAACAATTTAAAGAATATTTTATAGTTTAATAAATCATCTTCAGGGGTGTTGCTAGAGATTTGGGGCCTCGGGGAATAGTATAACATTGGGCCCCATTAAAGCCACAACAACACAGCTGAGAGAAAAAATTATCATTTGTTTCATTAATTTTTTTGAATAAAGAAATTATTATAATAATGGATTTTATTCATTTAAATAGAATTTTAAGTACGCAGACATCACCTTTAGTTCCATCCACTATAGTAAATAATAGTTAACCAATTTGTCAAGTTTTAATTGTTTGTAAAATAAATTCTTACTTTTGTAAACTTGACTGTTTTCTGAAACAAAACAAAGTGTGTACAATCCCCTAATAAATAAAGAATCCTAGAATCTTCTGATTAAACACAATAAAGACCAGGCAGGGTGATATTCTATATTTAGATAGAGTATCACAGCTTATTGGTCCCAAGTAGAGTTAATATATATATATATTGAGCTCCTAAAGTTCTCAATTTACCTAACCCTACACTGATAAAATCATAATTTCATTCAACTTTACAAAAACGTACATGGGCACAACCAGGAGCGGACAGGATATCTGGCATATCGGGCATTTTCTGGTGGACCGTTGCCCACTGTGGGCAAAGTGGGCCCCCCTCCTACTTCTTCCGCAAAGACAGCCTGTAGAATTAAGAGACGTACGCGAGTTGCACCCCTTCACGCTCTCATGGCCAGCTGGAAGGTATAATCCCAGGCCCAAATTTTCTGCCCAGTCTAAGCCTGGTCACAACCCATTTGTTGTTTGTTTGTGGAGTCTTTTCTGATTCAATAATGGGAAATGTAAAATCTCCAATTGAGTTAGAGCCCAGCCTTCCCACATTCTTTCAAACCCCAAAATTTCTACAGAAACTGAAAGGTCGGCTCAGCCTGTCTATGTGAGCTGCTGAGATAAACACACGGCTGGACTGCAGTCAGGGGAAGGTTTTTGTCAGCTCGTGGTCCATCCCCCCATTTTTAACCATGACACTCACCAACAGTCATTTCATAAGGCGACTGTGTTACTCTTTAAGAGTCGCCGTTTAGCGCTTTCATCGTTCTTCGTGGATGAGCTACACTGAGCCGAGCCCAGTGAAACCAAGTTCAGCTCATTGAATAATCAGGAGATTAAATTGCCTTCTTTGTAAGCCCCAAGTTTGATCCATCAATTATTCAGATCCTGAAAAGGAGCTCTCACTCTGGGAATTTGTTGTGATTGAGTAGGTGCAACAACTCTGAGCGCAGAGTTGCAAATGCCTGTTGAACTTTATTCCTGTAACTAAACCTGCTGGTCAATCTGAGAGCTGAACTAAGATAGTCTCTGAATAAAACGTGCATCAAATAACTTCTATCGCAGTCAGACCTGGAAAAACATCATGAAAATGGGAATTTCTGCAGTGACTTCACTAATTTGCAACACTTCAAGCATATTTTTCACATCCACAATGTCAATATAGTCCTTTCTTTTATTTCAACGTCTAACTTGCAATAAATGGACAATTTAAACCTGAAAAATTTACATTTTAGGTTAATTTTCTTTCATTCATGGGTGAATTAATTTACTTAAATCCCAGACTTGATACACAGAAGATGGAAAAACTGGAGAAAAAAGTAAGTAAGAAGTTTTAGACAATAAACACCTGGCTACACACCCACATCCAGCGGTTTTAAGCACTTGTAACACCTTCATGTGGCAAACAGAGCCCCACTGGCACAACCCTTAACTCAAATCACCACCAGACTCCTGAAGTTCTGGTCGGCTCCAGCACTGTGGGCTGGTCCTGCACAACTCAGATGAACACAGGTCAGCTTTCCTCCCCCAGAGGCTTGCACAACATGGATTACAACACACTGAAAGGAAGGAAGGAAAATCAAGTCCAGACCTTCCACCTGTCCCTTGTCAAAGCATCTCTGCTCTTCATCTGGTTCATAATGGCTTTTTAAAACCTTCTCCATGGAGTGTCATATCTGCGCCTGAGTGCTGCATAACTTGCAATAATCTCAGATACACGTTTATGTTAAACCCTGGATTTTGTGCACAGTCACTAATCCTGCAAAAACTCAAAGCATGATAGAAATTGTGAATATTCTTAGGAGGAAATGGATGACAGAAAACTATTCAAGCTTTTAAAAAAATGAGACATTTTGAACCAAGTTTCTAATAATAAAATGTATAATAATGAAAATATTAATTGTGAAATTAATTCTCAGAAGTTTCAAATTTAAACTCACCTGTGCGTCAGTCAGGCTGATCGTTTCCGTTTTCTGTGTTTTAAGGTAAAATCCGTTACTTACGCAAATATTCTTCTACATGTCGCGGGCATGTTCAGTTACGCCACAAATTCGCTCCAAAAGGGCTATTTTTGGGGGGACTTAAAGACTCAAAGCGAGAGGGAGGTGTGTTTATAATCCGCCAAGTGACGCTCCTTCGTCCTGTGAAGTCTGAACCCCGTCTGAGCTCAGACTCCTGCGTGGTGCGCTTTTTGAACCCACTTTGGGGTGTTGTGCCATAAAGTGATGGTCTGCCAAGAACGATTCCCCCGCCGCGGGAGCTTGCGCGGCTTGGCCAGCTGCTGCTTAAAATGCAGCCCATTCAAACAACGTCAACACTAAAACACACACACTGTTAGTCAGGGACTTGAGCAGAAGTTCGTGTCCCTTTGACGCAGACACGCACCGGATAGGGAAAATGCGTGGATGGTGGAAAGATCCCAGCAGCTGGGAAAACTGGGAGTTGACAGAGGAGCTATTGAAATTTGGGTTGAGAAGAAGAATGAACGTAATGTCATGTAATAAACTGATAGCTTTAGTTTGCTGGATTTTGTTTATGATAAACTCCAAACAAATAGAAAAATAAATAGCCATTGGACAGAACTTGTCACTTGAACGTCTCCAATTTGTAAATAATCTTCTATAAACAGACCACGCCCATTTAGACTCTCCTTTAGAAACACTCTAGGACTTGAGGCCATAGACTGAACTTCATTTTGTGTCATGTGTTGTATAAAAACAGCGTAGATCAAATGTTTAGTAAGACTTTATAGATTAATAAATCTTAATTTCAGAATCTGGAACAGATACTGTAAGAAAGGATGGAGAAAAGTTGAAGAGAGCTATGAATGCATGATTAGGTTTGAAACATTTACTCTATATGTGGCAAGGTGGAATAACAAACTGCCCGGGCCCTCGTTACTCCACCTTGTCACATATAATTTTATAAAATTGTATTATTTAATGTTTTCTCACTCAATATCCATCCATCCATCCATTTTTGGCTGCTTATCTAGGGTCAGGTCGCAGGGGCGCCAGCCTAAGCAGGGAGGCCCAGAATTCCCTCTCCCCAGCCACCTATGCCAGCTCCTCTGGGGAATCCTAAAGTGTTCCAGGGCCAGCTGAGAGACAGTCACTCCTGCGTGTCCTGGGTCTTCCTTTAGGTCTCCTACCGGTCGGACGTGTCTGGAAAACCTCACCAGGGAGGCGTCCAGGAGGCATCCTAACTACATACCTTAGCCACCTCAACTGGCTTCTCTCGATTTGGAGGAGCAGCGGGTCTACTCCGAGCCCCTCCCGGATGACCGAGCTTCTCACCCTATCTCTAAGGGGCAGCACAGCCACCCTGCGGAGAAAACTAATTTAGGCTGCTTGTATCCACAATCTCGTTCTTTCACTACCCAAAGCGCCTGACCACAGATGAGAACATAGATCGGTCAGTAAATCAAGAGCTTTGCCTTCCGGCTCAGCTCTCTCTCCTCCACAGATCGGTCCAACGCCCGCATTACTGCAGATGCAGCACCAATTGGCCTGTCGATCTTTCCCTCACTCATGAACAATATCAAAATCAATATTAAAATAGATAAACAACTATTATTAGTAATATAAATCATATTGAGTCACGTGACTTGGACTTGAGTCATCATTCTGATGACTTTGGCTTGACTTGAAGAAACAATAAGACGGCAATGACTTGTGAACTACTGACTTGAGGAAAAAAAACATAATACCCGGTATTTATTTAAATGTTTGATCAGCATTCCCTTTCTGATTGAGTTTGGTTGTTTTTGCTGCTTGTTTTGTCCAAGAACCATTCTGACATTTTCAGAATTACTTGTAAATTCCAGGAGTTATTTCTTCATGCTGTAAAAAAAAATTCACACTTGGTCGACTGACTTAAAATTCCAGGTTTAGGATTTGGACTTGACTTGGTTAGATAGAGAATAAAATATATAGCGATACTAAAAGTCAAACAATATTTGCAAGTTTTTTAGACTGAAATTAAAGTATATTTCTGAATTTTTACCCTTTCAGAAATTATGTATGATTTTTCAGAAATTTGTAAAAGTGGTTGTCTTATCAGGGCTGCGCAGTGGCACAGTGGTTAGAGCTGTTGCCTTGCATCAAGAAGGTCCTGGGTTCTCTTCCCAGCCTGGGATCTTTCTGCATGGAGTTTGCATGTTCTCCCTGTGCATGCGTGGGTTCTCTCCGGGTACTTCGGCTTCCTCCCACAGTCCAAAAACATGACTGTTAGGTTGACTGGTCTGTCTAAATTGTCCTTAGGTGTGAGTGTGTGTGTGCATGATTGTTTGTCCTGTGCGTCTCTGTGTTGCCCTGCGATGGACTGGCTCTCTGTCCAGGGTGTACCCCGCCTGATTGCCCGTTGGCTGCTGGAGATAGGCAACAGCCCCCCGCGACCCTGTGTGGGCAGAGCGGGTTCAGAAAATGGATGGATGGATGGTTGTCTTATCGTGTACTGTGATGTCAGCAATACGTCTTTTTTTTTGCTAAGCACGCCCCCTGACCCGCTGACCTCCGTGCAATAGGAAACTGAGCGCCAACCAGAGCTAACCAATAGCGTTAGACTACCGCTTACATGCTTCAAATTTAAGGAATACCTCGACTGACGCAGAGTTGATGAACTTTTCACAGACAAGAAAGTCTTTAAAATATAAATATATGAGAACACAATATGGCATGAGCATAATACTTGTACAATAATGTGTTTTTGCCCCGTTTATCGGATACAGAAGCACATTTATAAACCAGAAAGGTGAAGTCGGCATCTTAAAAAAACGGAAGGAGAAATTCTTTGTGTGATATGCTTGTCAGCCACTCGATGGCGCCATCAGATAAGAGAAATACTCCAAAAAGAGAGATTTTAATTGAAAGACTTAGGTCAGACATGTCTAAAAAAAAAACATCCAGCTTTATCCAAGATCTTGTTCCGTCAGAATAAAGGTGGTAAAATCTGCTGCAGCCTAGCTGAACTCTGAATTGTACCCACAAAAAAAATAGTAAATGTTTGCATAAAAATCCTCAAAAAAATAACAAAATCAATTCACTGCTTTTATATATCGATTCAATATCTAAACACAAAATTTTGCAATATTTCAGGGTATTGTCAATTTCTTACATCTTTACATAAATATCGATGATCAAAAATAACAGTGATTTTATGATTGGATATTTTGATCGGCCTACATTTTCATATTAGTGCATTACTAATAATAGTAATAATAATGCAACAGTATGTTAGTGTAATGACCGGACTTGAAGACCCGTAAGGAGCCCGAGGCACAGTAAGGCACTTTAAAAGTCTTTATTAGCAAAAAGCTAAGACGTGGCGTTACATGTGGAGGGCGAGACTGGAGACAGAGCCTGTGAACAGGCATGGGTCAGAACCAGGAAGATCTGTAAGACGTCCGTGGAGCAGGCGAGAGACGTGGTAGAGGACAGGCGGGTGTAGTGAATGCAGGTAGGGTTCCAGCCGAGGGTCAGACGTGAAGCGAGGTGGAGGAGGGAAACAAGGTGGATGAGCGATGGATCAGGAAGGAAGGAAGGAAGGAAGGAAGGAAGGAAGATCTACAAGCAAGAGCGTTCAATAATCTGGCAGTGTTGGAGAGCAGGCTGGATCTTGTATAGCAGGAGAGGCAGGTGTGTGGCTTGAGCTTGATGAGGGGACCAGGTGTGATGAATGAAGGCTGATGACATGAATGATGGTGCATGGAGGTCGGGGCATGGCAGGATCATGACAGTTAGTCTGTGTTGTTTTCAATGCGCCACAAGTCAGAATTTAAAGAATTTTTTTTAAAAGAGCTTACCTTAAATTTTACTTTTAAATTTAGTGTTAAAGAAAAAAAAGCTCTACAAAGTCTTTTCCTCTGTGCATGACACTCATTATAAATAAATCAAAATATATCTTCATGAAAATAATACAATAAATCCAAATCTGAACAGACAACTGCACATAAAACAACGATTAGACCATTCGAAGAACCCCTCCCCCCTTTCCTTATTGTCCATCAGGGGACCATAAACAACTTTTCTTGGAGATCACCTTCAGCAGCATTCCTTGTTTTGAGTTGAAGCCATTAATCAGCTGACTTACAACAAGAAAGACTACTGGGTAAACACACTGAGTTATTCTGCTGAAGGATTTATCATGAGAATTGAGCTACATTGCCGTATTTTTTTTTTTGTCTAGTCACAAAAAAGTTAACAGGAGCCAGAAGACTGAGAACAAAATCCCACTTCAGCTTCACGACATCCATTGAAACAGTCATGCAAAAAGAAGACAAAAATATTGGATTTTATTCTATAAATTAAGCTACATCGAGTCGGAATAAACCAGGATAAATAAAATAAAGTAGTATCTGGTATTTATAGAGCTGTAAACGTATTCAAATATGAGTTATGTTGACCTTTAAACCACAAGACAAGATGAGTATTTTCATCTGCTTATCTGGAGTTGGGTGGCGGGGGCAGAAGCCTAAGCAGGGAGGCCCAGACTTCCCTCTTCCCAGCCACTTAGGCCAGCTCTTCCGGGGGAACCGGAACCCTAAGGCATTTCCTGGCCAGCCTAGAAACATAGTCCCTCCAGTGTGTCCTGGGCCGTCCTTTAGGTCTCCTCTCAGGTGAACAGGCCTGTAAAACCTCACCAGCGAAGCATCTATGACGCATCCTGACCAGATACCAGAGCCATATCAAGTGGCTCCTCTTCTTGTGAAGGAGCAGCGGGTCTCCTCTGAGCCCATCCTGGATGACCGAGCTTCTAACCCCATCTCTAAGGGAGAGCCAAGACACCCTGCTGAGAAAACTTATTTTGGCCGCTTGTATCCACAATCTCGTTCTTTCGGTCACTACCCAAAGCTTGTGGCCATAGATGAGGTTAGGATCGTAGATCGACCGGTAAATCAAGAGCTTAGCCTTTCGGCTCATCTCCTTCTTCACCATGATAAACCGGTACAATGCCTGCGTCACCGCAGACGAAGCCCCCATAATACTGGTATGAAAATGAAGCCAACACGGAAGTGACAAAAATTGCAGTTCCACCCTCATCCACTGGGGGCTGGTGTCAGAAGCGAGCAAATCCTCATTGACTCCCATGTTAAAAATACCAGTTTCACAGCAGAAATAAACATGTTTACAGCCTGGTTCCAAAACATGTTTTAGGTTTAAATGATCTAGTTTACACTCATGACAACTCTGAGGGGGGTGAATTTTTTCTCACTATTCTGTTTAAGTGTATTAAAAGCCTAAAATTCTGAACACTTAATGAGCATCAGACCCACGTGACTGCAGAGCTAGCTCCGTGGAAAGG